CAATTTCAGAGACAATGGCAACATGCAGTTTGTATCCGGGCACCTTAACACAACTGTAACCCCACATGCAAATATGCAGAATGTATACTGTGCACTTCCAACAAATCCCTAGATTTAATGAGCTCGGTAACCATTAACTACTTTCTTGAGAAGTTTAAGTCGCTCTACTAGCCAACAAATTCCTTGCTTTCTATTGAACTGTGAGGTTCATTACCACATTCACAACAGCCCACTACACTGGAAGGATAGGTTAACCATAAAAGGTGGATGTCACTGACACAGTCCCAATCTTTCACACTAGTTTCAGACTGTTAATGAAGCAAATTAACTTCCACTAACATAAGATACTTACGATGCAATGAGATCATTGTTATAATAAAGGACCACAAGACAACGATTTACGATTCAAGATGTGACTTCTTCACAAATATAAAGTATGGTCTTATACTGAGTAATCAAATTTCTGGGGTACTATGTGTTGCAGATTATGACTTTAGCATTTTCTATCCCCTCACAATACTACACTTAACAGAAAATACATCAATCCATTAATCTTCTTTTCTTCTCTTACATTCATGATGCTTCATATCTTAATATGAACTGCTGGTAAGCTATTCTTCTCTGCCAACATTACAAATATAAAACCAACCTATAAAAGGAATGATACTTGCACGAAAATGAGCCCTTGGTTGAGACTTTGTACACAACAAGAGTATCCAAAAGAACTGTAAATATGGAATACACCCCAGTAGCACCCACACACTAAATGGGATATCAGCAAGATGTTGCCATACTATTGCTGCAGCTAAATCTTTCTTCTTTTCTGACACAGAATGAAATATTTTTATATGCTCCAGAGTGTATGAGCCATAATGATCTGACAGGTCAAATATGTAATACATAACAACTAAAGTTCCACCAAGGTAAATGAACAAAAGAAGCCAAGCAAATCTCTGTCTGAAATTCATTCTATTACGTGGAATCATTACAGCACCAAGCATTTACAATGACCCGATATCAAAATTAAAATCTCAATGTGCGGTTTCAATGCTTAAGCGTAAGAAAGTTTATCCTTATTCTGTACTACTTTTATCTCAACATCGCACTAGCACTAATTTATCGTTAAACTGAAATGACATTCTCTTCTTTCGATTCATTCTGCGAATGTAATTTGCCTGCTACGCAAGTACTTCGAACTTTGTGGTCTCGCGCTGCATTTTTCGGCTGTTCAAAAACTGCGTAATATAACATCCTCATGATCACGGATTACAGTTCAAAAAACAATTATACAGATACCTATTTCAAAACCGAATAATATTTTACAATGTTTGCTGCCAATACTAAAGTCACATGTGCATAATCCTCAACCATGTGCCACCAGCTGAGTAGTGTACATGACCGGAAATGATGTCATAACGCGGCATACTACAAACATATGCTGGGAAGTGTCATTAGCATAAATGGAATTGATATGAGCTTGTGTTACAGTCACTGCAGTCAAGTGCTGTACTATGATGTGCACAGCAATACAGAGAGGGAAGGGAGTCACTTTTCTTCCACTTCACCCTGCCACGAGGCCAATAGACTGGATCCATAAAGACGGCTGCCTTCTGGGTTCTTACGCCCTGTAGTCTGATATTAGTTTACCAACGTTTCAGCTGTATTTGCTGGCTCCATCGCGCTGATTGTGAAACGTCAATAAACTTATATGAGACTAACAGCGCAATAACTCAGAAGATATCAATCTTCATAGTCGCTGCTGTGAGAACCTCAAATACGTATCACTAAATAATCCATGATTGCATGCAAAGATTAGCAACAATCATGCGTATAATACAAATTGTGGTTGTAACAACATAAAAGTTTGATACTAATAAAGCAACATAAACGTTAGGAGTAAAATAAGTATTTTAAATGTCTCACAATTTAATCCGCACGAGTAAAACTTGACAGTGGAACCACGGTTCCAGAGAATCTGACGTAAATACGCAAACGCAGCAGTAGCGTGAAGTGCGATGGGCCTTTATTTGTATAAATAAATGTTTGTAGGACCTAAACCATTTGTGATATGTAAAATCTGAAAACAGATATCGAAAGCTCAAGAGGTAATACGTATTTCGTACGCAATATGTCCAGATCCATCTCTTACGGTTTTCGAGAGGCGGACGCTTAACGCGCCAGATGCATTGAAAATTGTACACATTGGTTCATTAAAATTACAATAAATGTATAAAGAATTATAATTACAATAAAATACATTACAGATTCTTTAAGGTCTTTATTTACTGATCATTTTACATATAGGTTACATTACCCTTACTCTTACCATTCCTGAGGAATGAACATTTAAAGGTGACTCGGCGCTGATCTTACACATCTTCGTAACGCTGTTTTTGCCGAATGACCCTTCCGTACCGTAGGTGGTAATAGGACCTTTTAACATTGATCCACCTCTCCTTTCTCACATTCTGTCTACATACAACCCAGTGTTAATCAAGAGGGTTCAATCCCTGACTATTTGAAATACTACCTTCTTTACTGTAATATATAATGCCCATAAAAGCAGGTGTGCTTGTTGAAATAGGGAAGATGTTATAGTATATTATAAAACATATACTACTTTCTTTCAAATGTATCCTTCTGCATTAAGTAGCTAGAAACAATCACAAATTATTTCATTTAATGATTTACTTTCTCACTGCTTACAATGTATAATTTTGAAAAGAAAGATATAAATATGTTAAAGGTTCAAAATTTGCAGGTATATCTTTTATCTGTCACTTTGCTAACTTTAAAATAAAAAGTAATGGAATTTTATATTGTACATTTTGCATTTACATTACCTGAAGAATTTGTATGATCTGAAGCTTTCACAGCGACCAAGTATAATAAACTCTTCTCGGGCTACAGCTGTGTAAGGTGGTTTAATGGAGAAAACACCTGAATTAAACGTGGCTAATAGCCTGAGAATTCATTATACCTCAACAATTGCATATTTTTAAGATAATATAGAACAGGTTACACAGAAAATGTCAATTGATGGAGCAATTGTTACAGACATTTTTAAAAAATGTTTCTTTTTTTAAAATGGACAGGAGACTAAATGGTCCACTGACAACTAACGTCTGCCGTTTCACAGTGGTGTTGAACAACTGTGATTTTCATGTAACAGCATTTGAAATTCACTAGCCACCTCCAAAAATATTCATACTTTAATTAATTTTTATGAGGCAGCAAAAAGAGAAACCTGTTTCTTTTATGGGAAAAACTGGAATTTTGGGAGGGAATAAATGAAAAAATTATATGGATTTTCACATTAACAATTGGTGAGACTGTCTGTACATTATTCTTATGCTGCTTACACTAAACTTTGCCAGTCTGACAACTAGCCATTAAGACACGAGTTCACTTGTGTTACTATACATATCCGATGCCACAAATGAAGAATATGCCTACAGATTGCAACTAAATGGAGCAGTCCTTCTTGCTAACTAATAGTATATTCAGCTGTCAAAAAATTCCCACTTTTTGGAAACTGAAGGCTCATTAACATGACCCTACCCCTGGTCCAAATCCTGAGTGAGATGAATCCAATCTGCACTCTCCAAATCTGGTTTACTAAGATCCATTTTCATATTATCTTCCCATTTATGCCAAAGTATTCTTAATGGTATCTTCCCTTCAGGTCTACAAACCAAAATTTATTATACATTCATCTTCCCCATGCAAGCTATATGCCCAAACCATCTCATACATGAGTTTATCATCTTAATATTTGGCAAATACAAATTATCCTCAAGAAACAATTTTCTCCAGCCTGATCAGTCAGTTCTCCGAAGCACTGTTCTCAAGGACCCTTAATCTATGTTCTGTCCTTCATATGAGACCAAATTTCACAATCATAAAATAACAGACTACAAGATAATATTTTTAACAACACTGTAGCAATCATTTCCTGAATTTATTTTGCTCTCATTTCCTCACGAATGGAATTTTAATTTGTTCCTGTTGTACCCAAATGTCTGAACGTTTCTGCATTTTCAAAGGATTTATTACCTACCTTTTTAAAATGAATTTATCCTGTGGTTTGGTGATAAAACATGAATGTAGTTTTTGCTGTTTACTTTTACACCAATTTCCACATTAGCAATGTCAGTTGTCTGGAATGGTTAATTCAATATATTCACAGCTACCCTCCAACCACCCCATCAGCTGTACTGTTCAGACCAGATTACTTGCTAGCAGAGTTCCAGTGCTGTAGAAACGTGAACTCAGCACCACTAGTCAGTACACAGAATGACCAAGTAGCACTCTTTTGTCAGTCTATTAATCATAATCAGAGCAATGTGTGCCCTAAAGATGGAGGCAGCAAGCACCCCTTAAATGTCAGTATATATTTCTTTCAGACCACACGGCACAACCCAAAAGTCTGCCACGAACAAGGCAATATTTTCAAAAGGACACAAAGTGCAGAGGTGCACACACACACTGTGTATCTCCTTGCTCTTTACCCATCCACTAAGAACATGCAAGTAACCTGGTCCGATCAGTACACACACAACTGCTTATTCAACAAATCAACAGGTACCCTCACATTTGAATTCCAAATGAAAGCATAATGGAAGTTACAGGTGAAATATACATTCTTCTTCTTCTTTATTACGCCGTCTCCTTTACAGGAGGTTGGCGACATATTATGAATAGGATCCTTCCATCCTTTTCTCGGACTGGGACCTGTTCATATGCTTTTTAGGCAGGTGATACAGAAGTGCCTTCTTCTGTGTGTATGGAGTAATTATTGGGAATCCGGGGAAGCCCTGGAGGAAAACTCCGTGTTGCCTAGATCACGGCCTTGCCCAACACAAGTTACTGCCGGGACCCCAGAATCACAAGGCAAGTGTTCTAACCGCTAGACCACAATGGTGATTAAACAAACATTACTAGCAAGTTATTTGTTCTTTGTGAAGGACAAGGGGAAGAGGCAAGTTTAACACCACAAATCAAGCCTAATAAGATGTTTATTACAACAGCATGCTTTAAATTAAATATAGTGAAACTAGAGGTAATTGATACTCGCAGTGGCAAAGATGTCAGTCACGAGAAATCACAAAATTAAGCCAGCAATACGCCCAGTGCAGTTTTATATTTTTACTACCTGTGCACTGACATTAACATCTCCTTTAACACAAGACACTTCCAGACGCGCAAAGTTACCACCAACCAAACCTTTGGCCAAATGCTCAGGGTTAACAGTTATGCAGCCATTCAAGTTCTGTAACACAAAAAAATCTAATTAATAAATATGGCACAAAAACCTAAGAAGAGACAAAGTACATAAGAAGTTTACATCTAATAAAAGAATAAGAAGTTTCACCATACAAACTTAAATTCAAATAAACACACACTACACAGCGCAATAACCCAGAAGACGGATATCTTCACACACAATTTATTTAACAGAAGCAAATTCAACACGTAATGACATCCATTTCAAACTATATTTTCACAAGACTAGATGAACTGAAACTGCAAAGAGTACTGACAATCTACACTTGGACACAAGCATCATAGGACTTCCTTCAGGAATACTTTCCCAAAATTTAGGAACCAGTTGAGACAAAGACTGACACCTATTCATGTTGGGACTGGTGAATAGCACCACCCGCAAGACACAACATAGAAGAAAACAGCATCACGTTTCATGTGACTGCATGGGCCCAGTTAAACAAATATTTGTCACGTGGTAATAAATGCAAGTGATGACAGAAGACTGAACTAAGCAAAGTACTGCACTTCATAGGTGCTTGTACTGGAGAATTCACCTTAATAAAGCAACGAAGGTCTGAAGGCAGGATTAATATGTGTGGCATAACTTCCAGTGATGCATATTTTGCCCATAACTCTAAATCAAGATTAATTTCTTCTGCTGGTGGATACAAGGGATAGAAACATTGTTGGGATAAGATGTGGCCAGCAATGCGTCCTAATCTGTCTGACCCCAACCGCAACCTGCAACATACACAAAAACACAGAACTTCAGAAAAATGCTGCAAAAACATCAATTTATAAACTGTCATATGATTTGCATTTGTTGAAGCTTTTATAAAACATTGCAATTCAACAGAAAAAACTTAAATAAGCATTTTCATTCTCATAAAATGCAGCTGATCTATGATCAGTGCACACCATGGCATAACTGTCAACTTAAGCAATAGGCGATTTCACTTTTACCAATCTCCACTGACTGCAGTACCCCTCTATCATCATGCTGCAAATGTTCAAATTCATATCTGTACCACAGCAGACAGGAAGTTCCTGTAAGTTCATTATGAAGTTGTAAATGTTGGTATCATCTGAGATGAATTGACTTGTGCTTGCTAAGTAAACACTCTTCCGAAAGCACTTATAATTTGGGAAGTATCTTGCATCCCTGTACATGGAATTAGTAGCTAATACTTGAAATGGTACCATTCCTTCTGCAGTACACCAGATCCTGAGATATACCAGAATGCAGCAGAAACAAATGAAGACCATGGTAAAATTTAAAAACATTTCAGGGCACTGTGTATTATGTTCACTTACATTTAATATGAATTTTTTTTATTTATTTAGTGTTCTGTCTGACGACAGGTCCATATGAACAGGATCCTTCCATCCTTTTCTCGGACTGGGACCTGTTCATATATGTTCTTGGCAGATGATCCAGAAGTGGTTTGCCATTGCCTTCTTCTGTGTGTGAATGGAGTAATTGTTGGGATGCCACGGAGAAACCGGGGAAGCCCCCGGAGGAAAACTCCGTGTTGCCTAGACCGCGGCCTTGCCCAACACAAGTTATAAATTCGGGCACCGCCGGGAATCGAACCCGAGACTCCCAGGATTACAAGGTTGAAGAATGTGTTCTATTGATTAGTTTCTTTTATAACCACAATAGTTACTCTCCTTCTCCAAGCTGTATACAGCACCTCTCAAATACTGTGGGATATAGTCAACTTGGTCAATACCATTAAATAATTTTACAATCTAGTAATTGGGAGATATATCCTTCACAGACATGTTTTTTCAGATTAAGTCAAGAAGAATGAGATTGGCGGGTCATGTGGCGCACATGGATGGGGCAAGATGTACTACCCAGATGACCAAAATCAAAGGACATTACTGCAAAAACCTCAAAACCCGTCCTTAATTTGTCATCATCTTTAGGAAATACCAAGCATTTTCCAATGCAATAAACACTTGTTCCTAATGCCTTTCAACAAAAATCATTTTGTTTTATAGATTATTTAACTGCTTCTCAAATAATTTTTTCCAGAAATGTGATACAAATTTATGATCATTATCCAAAGTTATAGTAGAACCACTCTCCACTGTTTGCAAAAATCAGCTTCCTCATAACCGCAGCAAATAAATGTCAATGCTACAAACACCATTACTTATGACACACTATAGAAGCATAAATTCTCCTATTTGCAATCTAGCATAAAAATACATACACACGCGGCTTATGAGAGAACAGCAGTCAATCATTTACCGACTACAGCCTGATATATGAATCTTCTTCAAAACTCGGAATTAACTCATTTTTGAATTAATAGGAAAGAAAAAGTTAATATTTTTGAGCAACCACCAACCCAAGATATCTCAGGATAATCAGGGGAGTGGTTAATGGTCACACTAATGTCTATTCTATGTTACTTTTCTTTCTGTGGAAGTCTAGTCTTTGCAAACAAAAAGTCAACTCACTGAGATATTTCCTCTTTTCCCAAATGAAGCAATACATCTGTAGATGTTACACCAATTGTAAGACCATGGATATCCACTACACAAGGATCAGGAGCCAAAGTTAATTTTGCATACTGCTTCCGAAGCACATATGGTGGAACTGGATACACTGCATGGTGATGGGCATCGCGACAAGAAGGAACCATCAGCACTTTCGTATTCAGCCTAAAACCATAAGAACATGGGGCTTACATATTTCCAAACCAAAGTAGCAACACTGGAGAAACTCATATTTCAACAACTTGGGGAGGATAAAAGGAGTATATTATACTGCCAAAGATGAAACAAAGACAATTTTATTAAGCAGTGATGTTCATAAAATGCTACACAATATCAAACAAGCAATGTACCAAATATCCATACACAGAAATCTGTTTATGAATAATAATGTGCCAGAAATAGTCCTTAATAATTATGGTTGATCCTAACACTGAAAACTCGTTTCAAAATGAAGGAACATCAAAGATGTGAATGCTATATATAGCAAAGACAATTGTTGTGTACTGCACCTGAGGTAGGTGATTGTTGGAAATGGGTAGAGATGAACTGCTTCCTAAGTGAATAATTACAGTTCACAATTAAGTAATATAACAGATAGAGGTATATTTACAACAAGTAACACTAAAGCATCGATCAAGCATGTTAAGCAGTCCTGTCTGCGTTTAAGAAAGAACTATTTTCCCTCTAGCAAAACACATCTTACTAACACAATGATTACTACTTGTGTAGAACCAGGCTTAGCCCAATGGCAAGTGAAAAAGTGATCAAACACTCACATAATAAGATGAATCTCTCTTCATGCTAGATTCAACATGGTTGCCAACACTCATCTTGACTTCAACTGAGGTGCTTCTTGGACCTTTTTATATTAAAACTATTGTCTCAATGCCTCAGGCTTGAGGACCACCTGAGTGCTGAGGTTCTGAATGGCAGAAAAGAGTGTTCTTTCTCATCAAACTTATGCCTTATATGGGCACATGACAACTGATTTTATTCCTATTTGGTAATATGTGGATACTGAAATTGACCCTTGATATTAGCATATATGGTGGACTTCACACTCGTGGCCATTCCAAGAGAATGTCATCGTCAGTCACGACAATACATTTTGCTTGTTAAGATTGTAGCATGCAAGTTGGAAAGTTGTAACATTACCGAAAAGAGGTAGGTTATCATGTACATGGCCAAAAGCCATGTAATTAAGGTAGTACCTGTAAAAAATAGGAAGAGGACAAGGCCGGTCATATATACAACACCATCTTGCAGTGAAGATAACTAAGAATACACCACACTCCTTGCACCTTGCAGTCAGGAAAGGGAAAGCCAAATATCAAGCTTCTTGCTAATGTCTAACAGCCAATACAATTAGCACAAATAATGCTGCCAAATCTAATACTGTGTATTCACTCACACAGCACTTCGTACTACCCAAATCAAATCCTCTAATATGACATTCATCCACTTTATGAAAAAACATGCATGTAGTTTCTGGATAAATATGATATTTCCAGGATAAAAAATTAAGCGGCACTATTACGGCTGCCTCCGAAGTTCTTATGTACGACTGAAAACTGTAGGAAATTACAAATTGTGGTGGCCTACAGTGGCAAAATAATCACACCACATTTCACACAAACCAGTCAAATGGTTCAGAATCTAAAAGGAGAAATATACAAACAGCATGACAATTTTTCAAATCTATTTATACTTTAAACAAACAAGGCTAAAAACATTATATACAATGGTGTCTATATAAAAATAAATACAGCATAATCTCCATTGTCCCTACAACCCAGTTGTGGATCTTTGCCACCTCCTTTTCGGAGGTTTTCCTAGTCTTTAAAGTGTGCGTTTGTGGGTAGTGAGTGACCAGCCCATTGCCTCTGCACAATTTCCACTCAATCCTATTTAAATGCTTGAGGAATACAGCATAACAAAATCTAATAAAATGGAAATGATGGCTATTCAAAATTCACAATTTTCTTATAAGGCTTACTTTTTCAAGGGTTCCATGATGCCATCAACAATCTTCTCAAAGAAGGCTAGAAAGGTTTCTGCAAGCATTCCTTCAACCACATGAGGATGTGTGGCATCAATAAATGGGCCAATTAAAATGACCAAATGTGGCTTATGTTCCAGAATATATTCCACAAAGTCCTGCAATGGTTGGTAAGTTAAAGTATCAGACTGAGTAAATGGACCAGCTGCCACAACAATCTGCATTGGACCTGAAACAAAAGAAAACCTCAATGGACTGCACTACACTGCAGGTTGAGAACATGAAACTGACTGTACAAATGTTATTGTATCCCACATACTAACAGAGCAAAAACATTCATTCAAGAGACCCAAATTTGTGAAGTGTTTTATGGAGACTTTAAAACCCATACAAAACCATAGGTACAGTTTGGCCATGCCAGTTGATAATCACAAGCCTGTTTACCATTTTCTTCCGTTGACAGAGATGGTTTTGGAGGAAATGGCAAGGAAGCATCACTGTAGATCTGTTTAGCACATAATTTACTCCCCAGTGGGTTCTCCCCTTCAACTACAATTATTTGTCCAGGAAACAACGAAAAATTTTCCACTTGTGATAAATCCATGGGAACGGACTTGCCAGCAAAGCTTTCAAGTACTATAGACTTAGCATTAAGCCGTCCATTACTGTCACAGCACACCCTGCCCACACCAACAAACTGGCTCTGTAACAATACAATCCCAGAACTCTTAAGATTAACATTTTAATCACAAAAGTGAGTTCATCTTCAATACTGCAAGTCTGTACATTAAATGTACTCATGGAAAAGCAACACATAAATGAACAAATGCCTACTTTTTTTTTCATAGGACACCTCTCTGTGTAGATACATCAAATCACCCAACAATGTAACTTCAGTCCTTAATAAGGAAATCAAATGTAAAGAACCATACTGTACTTAACAACCTTCTTACACTAAATACCTCAACCAAACCTGAGAGTTCAGCATTAAATTTATAAACTAAAATGTAAGGTGAAAGTAAAATATGCATAATTTTGCCAGAAACTTGTATAATTCTCGTCCTTACTTTTCATAGCCAAGTTCAATGTACAGATTCAGCTTAAGGTAATAAATAACATCAAACATTAAGGACTATCTACTGTTTTGACAAACAATGCAGTTGCCACCTTCTGGGCAAATATGAAATGGTAGAACTGTCCAAACACCTACCATTACACACCTTTAATATGGCAAATGCAATGTTTACCAAAACACTGGATAATTTTCAGCACTCAACATGACACTTACCTGAAAGACAAAGTGGTACAGGTTGCACAAGGTTTTCGATAACAAACACTTCAACAGGTACTGTAATGCAAACATTTATCCTAAACTAAGAGCTTTGTACAAGTACAGATAGAAAGAACAATCACAAGAGTTTTGACAACTCATTTTGTGACACTAACAGTAGATACTGTCATTACTGACGATTTCCTCTAAATCAGTGAGTTTTCTGCAAGTAATGCATGAGATATGATACTTGTATTTTATGGATACCAGCAACCTCTATTCCACATACATCAATTTTAGTCAAAACTCGTTAAAAATAAAGAAAGAAAATTAGTATTTTTATGCTTTTTCTGGGCATTTCTTTCCATCCATGCATCATGGATATCTTACAATACAGCTATGCATCACCACAGTATATCATCTCAAAACCACCAACTCTCTTGACATCGTAGGATCCAACTCTTGGTTGGGAGTTCATGTAAGCACTGACCATGCCATAAGCCCCAACACTACCTGCAAGAGGAGCACGTGCACTCCAATCTATATCCGTGTTTCTGTGTGCACAGGCAGCAACTGTGTTTACAATCCAAGATGGCAGGGCTGCCAGCACCCAGTTGGCAACAAAAGACTCGGTGCCTAACTCGGAAAGGCCATAAACATCATCTTTTGGCAAGATTAACCCCATATGCGAATGAAATTTTTGGGGATTATCAGTGTCGGTTCAGACGAAACAGGTCAACGATTAATCAGATCTTTTGCATTCCTCAGATACTAGAGGAAAAATGGGAGTTCAGTGGGACCGTACATCAATTATTTATAGATTTCAAAAAAGCCTATGACTCTGTGAAGCGAGAAGTGTTATATAAAATTCTTACTGAATTTGGTATACCAAAGAAGCTAGTGAGTCTAATAAAAAAAATGTGCTTAAATGAAACCTGTAGCAAAATTCGAGTAGGTAAATATATATCTGAGACATTCTTCATCAAGAACGGTCTATAACACGGAGATGCTTTGTCTCCCTTGCTCTTTAACTATGTGTTAGAATATGCCATCAGGAAAGTCCAAGATAGGCAGGACATCAGCTATGGGCATGTGCTGATGATGTTAATTTATTGGGGGACGATATGAATACAATAAAGAGGAACGCAGATGTTTTACTAGAGGCTACAAGTAAATTCAGAAAAAAACTAAGTACATGTCGGTATCTCGTCATCAGCAGACAGGCGGGCAAAATTATCTTAGGGTAGCTAATAAGTCCTTTGAAAGGGTTACAAAGTTCAAATATCTGGGAACAATTTTTTTTTGGTGCGAAACATGGTCTCTCACTCAGAGGGAGGAACACAGATTGCAGGTGTTTGAGAATAGGGTGTTGAGGAGGATATTTGGGCCTAAGAGAGAAGACGATGGGGCATGGAGAAAACTGCATAATGATGTATGTAGCGCGCATGGATGGGACAAGAGGGGTGCACCGGGTATTGGTTGGGAAGCCTAAGGGGAAGAGACCGCTGGGGAGACCTAGACGTAGATGGGAGGATAATCTCAGGCATGCTCTATGGGAGATAGGAGTTGAAGGAGACTGGATTTCGTTGGCCCAGGACAGGGTCCGGTGGAGGGCTTTGGTTAATTCGATGATGAACCTTCGGGTTCAGTAAGTCATCTAGTTAGTTAGTGCATCAGGGCTGTAGTGTCCCCAACCCTTTTCCCCTTTAGATGTCACCTGAGAATAGAAGACAAAAAGTAGTCCAGGATTATCGTTAAAGGTCACGGCTGCCCTGAATACAATGCTGTTTGCAGACAACCAAATTGCAATTCAAGAAAGTGAACATGAACTGCAAAGATCTGTATTTCACCTACATTTTTATGCAAAAGCTATAATTTGAAGATCTCAACGAATAAAACCAAAACAATGGCTTTTAAAGGGAAATACCTAGTTCAAACAAAAACTGTGATAGAAAACAAAACTCAAACAGGTCAACCACTTTAAATATTTAGGTTATGATGTAACATTCGTGGTGGAAACTGACATAGATGCTAAGATACAAAAATTCCAAAATGTGTAGCACTATTAGGGTAACACTTAAAGGCAAAACTCAAAAAAATACACAAATAAAATTTTACCAAGTGACGGCTGTTCGTACCCTACTGTATGAAATTGAATGTTGGATAATGAAAAAAGGACACATGCAAAAAATACAAACAGCAGAAATGTAATTCCTCAGATCTGTAAAGGGATGCACAAGGCTGGTTAATATTAGGAATGAAGATAAAAGGAAATAATGAATGATAAAATAAGAATATACAGACAAAATTGGCTCAAACTTGTGGAAAGACTGAAAGGACAAGTGCCAAAATAAGATCTTTGGTATAAGCCCAAAGGGAAAAGAGATCCCGGCAGACGGAATTCACAGAAGCCAGAACAAGTCATCAGCCTAATCCTTGAATTCGATAAGTTATCACACCAAACATTTTTGATATTATTATTATTATTTCAATCTTACTATTATTTTCTGATGGTAAATTATCACTTCTAACTGTAGAACCAGGCTGAAAGAATAACATTTAGGACAGAATAGTTAACAATACTCACTAATTAGTGTGATAACTTCTAGTGCAATATGGTCAGCTAGGACATCTCTACAGGCCTCTATCTTAGTGTTATTGGTTCTTAAGACTTATATACAGTTATTGATTTGTCAAACAATGCTTTCATGCCCATCCTCTGGCCCATCATGACTGGGTGTTGTACATGAACTGTGATAACAAACCTTATTAGGGAATTGAATGTTGATATTATGCCTGATTAGGGTGTTCACTCTTACAGATGGGTATATCCACTTGATACATCATGTGCATGCCCATCCACACATACATAAAAATCAACTTATAATGAGTTCAGATTTTAATCTTAAACACATTCTTTTAGGAAAGCAGTAAACATTATGAGTTAAATTATCAGATGTTTATGGAAAAGCAATTATACATTTTAAAATCATAATGGTTTTGTATGGAAGAACTGAGATGGTGATATCCAAATACCAGACTATTTTAATCAATCTGAATTCTTGCACAGCTTTTCCTTCATCATAATCCTTTACCTGATGAGGCAGATTTACTGCCTGGGGCTCCTCCAAAGAAAACTTGCTAACTATCTCCTGCCCCAAGTGATAAACAATTTCATCTAGCACTCGAGCCATGTCTCGCAGTTGGTTGAACATGTAATAAGTGCTGGAAGGCATGTGTGAATATGGTAACTGGATTACTAGTTGAAACTCCGTGTTTTCTGGATACCAGTCCGTCGTTCTACATTTCTCGCCGTATGTGCACACTGCATCACCCTTGTTTGTGCGAGCCCTGTATTTGCTGGACGGTGTTGCACTGCCAACAAAAAGCAGCTGCATTTAAAGCACAAGAAGACAGGAAATGGTCTGAAAATTCACAATTGGTCTTTTCACAATGCCATATAAAAACGCACGTCATTACGTACACAGTAGGTGAGAAGCTGGCAGGAGAGAAGGTGGCCCTGGGGCTGCGTCCACGTGCTGGCCTAGTATCTGGCGTGTGATCATCATATCTTCCACATTTGTTCTGTAATAACAACACACACTTTTACTTAATGGCTCGTCACTCTCAAAGCATGAACACATTATGTCTTCCAACTGAAACATAACATCCTCTTTAGGAGGATGCAAGTCCCTTTTGGTCTTCAGACATTACACCAAAGATACTAGTGAAATCTGGTCAGCTGAAGAAACAACTTTGTGCTCTTAGTTAGTTATCAAAAGACAACAAATACATTTATTATGAGGCAAATGTTCTATTTTTCTAAATTATAAACATTAACTCAGGTCAAATTAATTATGCTTTATGAAATACTCTTTGCACAATGCGCATGACATGAACCCTTATAGGGCTGGCTATGTCTTTCTGTCCACACGATTCAACTCAAGAATGTATGGACAAATGCACACTTTAAAACTTCCTATAAGAGTTATACTTTGTAACTTTCAAGGCATACTTTTTAATTTCTTAAAACAGGTACAATTTTTAACTTTTTACGATGAGCAATAAGATAAACATGGCAGTTAGAACAAAAAGTATCTCTACTTACTATAAGCCCTGAAATTATAGTAAAAGATCTTATAAAAATGTGCAATGTTTACATTTTAGAATGTAAAACAACATATTTCTGTTTATCATTGACAACTTCATGAACTATGCTTCCATGCATTGAAAATATCTGTGGTGAAATGAGTGACAAATTGTAAACAAATGTAATGTATTCATCACATACACTATGAACAGCTAGGAGAACTCTAAAATTGCACAGTATTTTCTGGGACTGTTAGTAAAACAATTCTAACCTAGGCCTTCTAAATATGAAGTGTCAACCACCTGATCAATATGTCCTGTATTTGGACAAACTGTCTGCTAAAAAAACTTTACACGAATGATATAATCAACCAGAGGGAAGAGGATATGAATTTTTTCACTCTAACAGAATGTTGGGAAATGATTCCAAGATAGTATCATTTGCATTAAAAATTTCTCTCCCAAGCACTCAATTTGGCATTAATACGATGTCTCACACACAATGTGCACACACAATTCTGCACATTAAAGCATTAACTATGGCCAGTTTTTCTATAAATGTAAACTACCAAGACCTAGTAAATCAGTTAATGCCCATGAACATTAAGAAACTTCTGTATAAAGCATAAAACCAAAGAATAAACTTGTAAACAAAGCATACTCCTAAATTGATAATGGACAGGTCCACTCCACATTCCAAACTAATCCAATATTTATAGCCTACCTCAAGTTTGTGGGTGAGAAACACAACCGCCTCAGAAATATGACACTATCACAACTCAAGAGACAATGAAAACTCCAGGATATAAAACTCTTGACAGGCAACAATGCACACCCTTCACGCTGATGTTGCAAGCACTGACTGCAGTAGACGAGTATGGATCTAGTCACGCTTCAAGCCGCGTCATCCAGACCCAGACCCGCCATCAGTAACCAGTTCTCTTTTAATTGGTGCTATGTAAGAAGTTTAGATATGAAGTACAAAGCATAATTAATACAAAATTCCAATACACTTAAATATAAACCAAATAATGATTACCATCATTAAGGGCCATAAAGTTTGTTACTTATCGCAGTGCATACAATACCATGATGACACAACACATCTTCAAATATCTACACAAACTAAAGAATAAATTAGAAGTGAAAAAATCAGTTATAACACATTCCTATACTGCCCATTAATAAACACGTTCACTTCTTAGTACCAGAACTTAAAAACCAACCCCGTCGATAACTCTGCTGGAGATAATTCCATAATGATGGCTTTCATAATTTGTAATCTAATCTATACATCTATCATTATGGTGATTAGTCAAGAGAGATATGGTTAGCAGTTTTGAGTGTTCTTGAGAGACACAAGAAATGCCTAAAAAAATTTGGTCAATAGATTTTAAGAGGTCGCTGAGACCTATATGGGAGAAAAATACTAAACAGAAAACTCACCAGTTACACTCACTTGCCTCATCAAACACAAGAAATGTGTTAATTTGTTGGCAACGCAAATTTTCGAAGTACACTACATTTAATATCAATACTGGCTTAACTACAATTAAATAAACATTAATTTCAAAGAAGCATTCATCATACCAACAAAATGTAGAATTCATGTTCACAGTGATTTTCCTCGGTTCCCTTGATGAGTGTAGATCTAGTCACAATTTCTAAAACACGTGTACCAGACCTACGCCCACCAAAGGCCTCAAAGACTTTTCACACAAAAATGACAAAACAGATTAATCTAACAACATTCTTGTTGGCATCATCCACATTAATACCAAATAAACCACCCTTTCCCATGTTGTTACTCAACAGATACTGCACACTTTAGAAAATATGGGTAACAATTTAACTTAAAAAATCTCACAAAAAATTGAAATGGAAACTTATGCATGTAAGCAAACAAAAGAAAATAAAAATTAATAACCTGACCTGATACAAATTTACAACTAAAATCAGCAATTACACAAAAAATCTTTAGCACCAACAAACATAAATGGAGTATGTATATTTAGGACCTTTATTTCTGACACAGATATTCGACTTTCATGTATATTTTAGGAACTTCCCCCTATAAACACGTATAAATACAAAAATGTCTCCCTCGCTTTTGAAATCTGTTATTCGGATGGAAGAGTGGAGGGGAGGGCGGAATTTTCAAATAAGGTTTTTATTCTTGCTGTCCCATACATGTAACTTCTTTCAAGCATTTACATCTAATGTCGCTAAAACGAAATGCTTAACTTTGACACGTAAAGAATGAGTCCATTCTCGTTGAGAAAATGGATCTTTTTCAACATACCTCTGACGTTCCATACGAGAAGAACAATAATTTGTCAAGCCTTCCTGTTTTTTAACAGCGGGTCACTCACTCTAAGCACGCGGCAACACAGCAGAAATGACCTGCCAGTGACACCGCCTGACCCCTCCAATACCAAACAACCCTACAATGTAAGAGGTAAAGCAAAGCGTCCTTCTGTTGTGTATGCCGCTTATTGACCTTGGCTTCTTTGGGTCTGAACCTCTCACTGCAAGAGAACCCACGCCACAACTTTCTCAACAGTTCGCAATACCTAAGAATCAATATAAAACTTGGCAACATTGCCAACAGAACTGGTTATCCCCCTCGTCTTTCTCCTCCTGGAGGCTGGTTTGTCTCGAGCAT